TCTTTGTAGGTCAAAAATGTGTAAAGTATCATACCATAAATAATCGAAGCAAGAAAAAGGAAAGAAAATAATTCACAGCCTGAAAGCCATGCATATGCATGGTATATTTTATGCGTACGCATGTTAAAATTATTTTTTTAGCCTTAGTCTGATGCATTGATGGCCATGCACAGGCTTGTGTGGGCATAGCTTTAGATTTTGGAATTTTTCATGTATACTTTTTAGGGTTTTTTGTTTCCGTTCATTTTTATTTTGTTGCCTTCTATTCTCATCCAATTGTCTCTTAGAACTCTTGAATCTTCGTTATTATGTCCAATACATCTATTGATAAATTTCACTTTAGTCCGTAAAACTTTGAATGTCTTGTAATTAAGTTCCCTTTCTGTCTTTTTCTCCAATCTGTTATTTGTATCAATTTGTACCTAACAAACGCAATATAAATATAACTAAGCCTTAATTAAATAAAATAACCAATAAATACTCTAATTTAAAAGCTTAAGTAAGTGTACAAAATATCCTTATCGGTGATTTCTAATGGTGATTCCAAACTTTGTGTGGATTTTATTCTTGATACAATTTGTACATTCCATATGTGACTTAATAAGGATCGTTTTACAAAATATAAGGTGGTTTTGAGAAGGGCTGTGATTATGGAAAACAACGTGTCATGTAAAATAGTTGGAATTGAATAAATTAGGATTGAAATGTTTGACGAGGTTATCAGGATACTTACAAATGTAAGACATGTTCTAGACCTGAAGATGAATCTTCTACCCCTGAGTATCCTTGATGCTAAGAGGCGTATTTGCACTGGTGAAGGAGTTCTGAAATTCAGCAGAGGTACTCTTGTAATGAAAGGACAAAGAAGCTCAAATTGATTAAATGAAAAGGTAAAGAAGTTACTAAATTGTGGTATATGAATGAGAATTGATGGCTAAATTGAGCAAAAGAGGACTTCTTGATAGGCAGATCACTAGCAAGATGAGTTCTGTACGTATTGTGTTTTGGAATATAGAAGATGGTTAAATTTTTGAAAGAAAGTCACTATACAAATGGAACACTTGATTATATCCATTCGAAGCTCTGGGGACTGGTGATGGTGCCTTTTAGAAGATGTGCATATTATTTGTTAACAATAATTGATTATTTCTCCAGAAATTTTTGAATTTTCTTCTTTAAGTAGAAGAGTGATATGTTTGGTACCTTCAAGGATTGGAAGACAATGATTGAGAAACAGACTGGAAAGTTGGTGAAACATCTCTATATAGATAGTGGCTTGAAGTTTTGTTTGAATGAATTCTATGGAAGACAGAAGGGATTCTGTGNATTTCAAGTGGGGGAATTTGTCTACCTAAAATTAAGACCATATCGGCAATTGTCCTTAGCTCAACGGAAAAACCTGAAGCTTATCCCCAAGTTCTTTGGTCCATACAAAATTCGGGCCAGAGTTGGGAACGTGGCTTATAAATTGGAATTACCTCCAGGATCTAAGATACATCCGGTCTTCCACGTTTCACTTCGAAAAAAAAGCATTGGGGATCATGACATTGTTGCAACTTCCTTGCCACCTATCCCACAAGAATCTGCCCCACACCCACTTCCTCAGGCGGTTTTGGAAACTTGGCACGTTAAAGGGAAATATGAATTGTTGATCCATTGGCAGAATCTTTCTCCAGCTGATCCACTTGGGAGGACTTTGATGATTTCAATAACCGATTTCCTTATTTCCTTGAGGACAAGGAAATTTCCAAGGGAGAGGAGTTGTACCGCGTAATTAGACAATTATCTTGGCCAAGATAATTGTCTAATTTCCTGATTTCTCTTTTAGTTCCAATTAAGATTAGCCTTATAATTTGTTTTTCCATATTGCTTTTTTATTACAATAATGTTTGCTCTTGTAATTTGCTTTTCTCATAAAGAAGTATCTTGTAATGACTATTTATTAGCAAGAGAAAAGTGAATAAAACCATAAAATGAATTTGTCTTCAACCATGTGTTGATTTAGGAGTTTTATTGGTTTACTCGAACTAACCAATACAAGGAGGCCTCGGACCCCTCAAAGTATCCAACCATATCACCATTATAGGTCGTCAACGCAAGAACGATCCTTAGTCCTTATCCGTCAATCGACGTATTACTCGATCCATATCCGAAGCATGTAACAGTATGCTATGGTTTGTATACGTCCAATTTTGACACATGTAGTTAGCAGGTACATTGCAAATTCTGGCAAGGAACATATGAAAGTAGTGCAGTGAATTTTTAGATACTTGTGTGGCTCTTCTAATGCTTGTTTGCACTTTGGAAGAAATTCAAATGGAGTTATTAGTTATGTCGATTCAAATTTTGCAGGAGATCTTTTACAAGGTATACGTTTACCATTATTGGTTGTGCTATCAGTTGGAAGGCTACATAGGTAAAGTATATGGCTATTACAAAAGGCCTGTAAGGAGGCTAGGTGATTAAGGGGATTGTTTAGTGAAATCAGTGAAGACCTGCAGATATCTATGATTGAGGGGATTGTTTGGTGAAATCAGTGAAAACCTGAATATATTTATAACTTTTTTGTAATAGTTGAAGTGTTATTTTTCTAACAAAGGATCGAATATTTTACAAGAGGACATAACACATTGATGTGAGGTGTAATTTTGTGCTTGACATAATTAATCGTAGTGATATTGTAGTGAGCAATATTGATACCAAGGAAAATTACGTTGATATGTTGATAAAGGCATTCTTTATGGCCAAGATTGAGTATTATTTGGACTTGGTTGGTAATTGTTGCTGGATTAGCCCTTAGGGGCTTGTATGGAAGAGGTGGGAAATTGTTAGTTAAAGAGTGAAGAGTAATTCCTTGTATTGAAATTTGTGTCAAGATGAAGATTTGTTGAAGTGTGATCCAAATTCCATTGGAATTGAAAGTTTGGTTGGAAAAGTGCTTTGAATAAGTCAATATATGGATTTAGAATATTTTGGGTAGAGATCGAACGTCCAAGCATGGGGATTCAAGAACCTAGGCGCCAATCGAAGAAAGAAACAAGTTTTGGAACAAAGATCTAGTGCTCCATTGCTTCACAAGTGGTGCTCCAGCACTGCCTTGGTCGTTTACTATCTGCGAGCTACTTCGCTTGAGTGGTGTATTTATCCGGTCCAGATTTTGTTGTGATTCTGCTGAGTTTCTAATATTTTTTTTCGTTTAAAACACTACAATTAGGGTTCTATATATACTCCACGCCTCGTAGTCTTCATACAATTAGAAAACATTATATTTGGTCAAATACATCGAATCTTGTAACAACAATCCATTGATCTTGATTTTGGTCTAGTGAAATTCTCCTCCTCCACTTGTGACTTTTTCCATCTTGATTTTTCACGTAAAATCTTGGTGTTTTTTTGTTAATATTAGTTTATTCTTCTCCATTTTTTTCCTTTAATCAGCTGATTCTTTTTTAGACATCTTAGTGTAACTATAAAATAGGAGTCTCTTTTACATTATGAATATAGAAAAAATTATTATTTTATATTTTCTACAACATGTTGGAGAAAAAAAGATGAAGGACATGTTAAAAAGTTTGACACAAGCTTGACTTGATTCAACATGGCTATCCAACTGTAAAAATATGCCATTGAAAGGTTGGAAACATGTTCTACTATGAAGGCTAAGTACATTTGTGTGTTAATGGATAAATTTTACATCGGTTAAATGCTCATATATACACCAATGTATAAGTGATTGAGCTGCTTTTCTGAACTTTTAGGATGAAATTTCAAGCAGTATCAAAGTCCATCAAACTCAAACGAGCTATTCAATCCAAAAAAGACTAAAAAACAAATTCACAAATTTCAAGATTTATCGCTTAAACGAGCCACCATTTTGTGAAAGCATGATAAGGGATAAATTTCATATTGGTTAAATATCGAAACATGGCCAATATATAAGAGATTGTGCCACCCTTCTTAAAAAGATTGATATTTTAAGATGAAATCTCAAATTTTAATCACGTGATCCATGAATGCATCTTCATTGTGTTTGGTGAATTTTAAAAAAACCATAATTTATATTTTCTTGAGCATAAGTTTCATATTCTGGATATAGTGCACTATTTAATATTTTATCTTTTTTCGACACATTTGTACAGCTACTTTTGGATTGACGATTTATTTATGTCTATTTTCCGTCAGCTAATTATGCACATGTTTTGTACATCTTTTATTACTTGTTACTGATGATATTATCAAAGCACTGATTAAGATTTCTTTTTCTTTTCATTCTATCTATTTGTACATTCTCTTTTTGACTATCAACATTTGATTTGAGTGATAACCTTCTAGTTTATATTTTTGTAAGGATGAATTCAAGTTCACGCACCTTCGTTTTGCTACCAAATGTAGCTAATTGCAATTTGCATTTCTCATTAGTAAAATAGACATATTCTTGATATAAATTGTATTGAGATGCGTTTTTCAATGTTCCATCCATTTGATACGGCATATTATGTTGTATATCGGTATAATATTATTACATTCTTGAACCATTATATAATCTGAATTCTAAAAATAAGTAACTGTGACTTACTCATTTGACCACAAATTGTGGCTCAAAAATTAATAAGTCAAATTTTTTTTGGTAAATGTAAAGACTCCTATTTGTGATTGGACAATGCTACATGTAAAAACATTTTTTTATACAATTCTTTACTTACTATTCACGTTAGGAGTGGGGACCACAAGCCGTCATTTTTTAAATACATGTGAGGTCCACACATTATGTGAGAGGGAGTGAAAAATTTTGTGAACCATAGTTTGCGCATATATATTTATCCTTTGTGATGTTATACCACTTTTGAAAAGGCTGGCAGTGAAATTTGGGCTACGAGAGCCCATATCTTGCAAGTCCAAAAGCCCAAATTATTCTGTTTTCGCGCAAAAGCCCAATAGTTTCCAAATTTCTACTTCTAATCCTCTTATACACGTAAGTATACCTCTTCTCATATTGAGAGATTTCGGTTTTTTCACCTCCGTTTTTTCGTATAGTTGATTGTTATTGTTAGAGTTCTCTCAAGGTTAGAGAGAGAAAGTTAGAAAGAAGGGGAAAGTAAAAGAAGGAAAAATTCAGAAAACAATTCGATCCAAAGAATTGAACTGATCTTTCAATATTTGGTTGGTTAAGATTAGATCTGTTCGCTGTTTTTCCCTTTCTGAAGGTAAAGAACTTTACTGGTCAGTTTCTGTGAGAAGTGTTTATTTTTTTTCTAAACTTTCTTTTTGTTCATCTCGCGTTTGAATTTTACGGTTTGTTTTATTTTGATGATTTTTGTTTGTTATTGCAGGAATGAAGCGATCACGAGAGGAGGTTTATGTGAACCCTCAATTTAAGCGGCCATTGGGTTCTTCGTCTTCTCGTGGAGAATCGTAAGCTCTTTAATATTTGTATATATGGAATTGGTTCGTTTCTTGTGATTTATTATATTCATCTGTGGTATCGTGATTTTTTTCTCGGTAGTAGCGGTCTTTTGTTCGAAGATAAACTATGTGGTGTTGAATTTAAAAGTTACTTGTTTTCGATTCAAGTAAAATTTTGACGATCAGAGCTAGTGGATAACATTTTTGCTCTTCTATAGAAACTCCGTCAGTTCTCCTTAACAGCAGTAAGAGAGATGGCACCGGAAATAGGAAGAATTAGGTTATACTATCATCTAGGGTAGCTGAGAGTTCTTGTTTTATTTTTAATTTTTTGGGGGGTGGTGGTAGGTGTGATGGGCCGATAGGGAAATAAAGTTTGGGTCTTTAGACGTGGTGCTGCTTTGCTTTGGGGTTTATTATCAATTTATTTTATAGTTATTACACCCTCAGTCCCACAAAGATAGGCTTGCTTTTCTTTTTTCGTCAGTCCCAAATTATAGGCCACTTTCCTCATTGAAAATATAATTAATTTCTTAGTTTACTAATATATCCCTATTTAATGTACTTTATTATTAACAAATTTGAACTACTATTTATATCATTATTTTATGTAAAGGTATATTAGGAGATTGTTTTCCAATAAATTACTTTTCTTAATCTTTGTGAAAATGGAAACAAGCATATCTTTGTGGTACGGAGTAAGTATTATTTCCTTTTTTCTATGGGCGATGGGATTCATGGGAACGGTTCAAAGTTATAAACGTCTCAATTATTTTTTTGGCTGTATTGAACGGAGGTTTTTACATTGAACCTGACTGGTAGTCGTAGTAGTGGAAATTAACGACCTTTAGGAACAAACATAGCAGCCAATGATATGATAGTGATATTTTCGGTGGAGGAGAGTACTCATACGGTCTTGTGTCTCTTGACTCTCTTCCGAAGGTATTCTCTGTTAGCATTCTTGCCTGTGCTCTTCTAAGTGTAACATAATGGATAAGTGAAAGCATTGACTATCTAGACGCATACTTCATTCAAGGGTCCTTGACCATCCTTTATAAATGGGAATTATGGTTTCTGGAAAAGTAAATTTAAGTGCACAAGGGAGAGAACTAATAATTAATTAGAGCTCATGTGTGCAGTGCACGTGTTGTCTAATTAAGTTTCAGTTGTATCTATTTTTGAATTATCATTGTGACGTGTGTATTTTAAATTTCCTTGTAATAAAGCTATGGGCTGTCACATGCCCCTGGCGGCGGCGGCGGCAGCGGTAGCGGTGTTGGAGGAGGTGGTGCTGTTGCTGGAGGTAGTGGCAATGTCGGTGGTGGTGCTGGTGGTAGTACACAAAAGCTTACAACCAATGATGCCCTAAGTTATTTGAAGGAAGTCAAGGACATGTTCCAAGATGAAAGAGAAAAATATGACCGGTTCCTTGATGTCATGAAAGATTTCAAGGGACAAAAGTAAATCATCTTCCTTGTTAAGATTAGCTTGTGCATATTACTATTGAATGGATCACTTTTTAGCAACTTCATTTTAATATGTTACTTGCAGAATTGATACAGCTGGTGTTATAGGACGGGTGAAAGAGTTATTTAAGGGGCATCCTAATCTTATCCTTGGGTTCAATACATTCTTGCCCAAGGGTTATGAAATCACCCTTACTGATGAGGAAGAGGCTCCAAAAAGGACGGTCGAGTTTGAAGAGGCTATAAGTTTTGTAAACAAGATTAAGGTGAAAATTTCTTATCACTTACACAGTAAGGGGTTTGAAATAAAGTTTCTAAATAGAATATAAATACCAATATCCTACTGGACTTTGTGCACCTGCAGAAACGATTCCAAAATGATGATCATGTTTATAAATCATTCCTTGACATCTTGAATATGTATCGGAAGGAACACAAGGGTATCACTGAGGTTTACCAAGAGGTATATGCATCTTGTTGAAATGTTTTGTGTTGAATAGAATAAGCAGACTCCTTGGAATTTGTCAATTTCTAGATTTTTGTGGTGCTTCTAATTATTTTAGTTTGTAAAATCCATTTGCAGGTTGAGGCCCTTTTTAATGACCAACCAGATCTCCTTGAGGAGTTCACTAGATTTTTGCCAGATACTTCAGCTACAGCATCAGTGGCACATGCTTCTTTTGGACGGCGTCCGTTCAATCATTATGATGAGAGGAGCTCTGCAATGCCCACAATGCGGCAATCCCATGTAGATAAGGTTATAATTTTGTACACTTGTTTTTCTTTATGTGTCTGTTTTATCATTTCTTGTTTCTAAATGAGATGTCCTACAACATTTAGCAACGTTTGCGGAGGGATAGGATTATTAGTCCCCATGGAGAACGTGATCTTAGTGTTGAGCGCCTAGATCTGGATGATGATAAAACAGTGATGAAGAAGAAGCGTGCTGACAAGGAGAACAAGGATAAGAGATATCGTGATCACGATGACAGGGAACCTGACAATGAAAACAATGGGGACACTAGCATGCATCGGCTTTCGGAGAAAAAGAAATCTTCCCGAAAGGTTGATGACTTTGGAGGGAATTCTAATTTGGCTTCCTGTGATGATAAAGATACATTGAAAAGTGAGTGAACGAGGCCCCTATATTTTATTAGAATATAGAGTAATTGTCCAATTCTGGTATCAACTTGCATGCCCATATTTCTGCAACAGTGGAATCCTGGGATTTTTTGTGTTTTTTGTTTTCTTTGTAGGAAATTAGTATAATTGAAAAATCCTTAAGTGCACTATAATTTTTTTAATGATTTATCTTAACACCCCTCTAAAATAAAGAGAGAGTAAAATTTAGAAATTATTTATGAGTACAATTTTTTAAGTTTATGTTTCAAGAAAAAGACGTTACAATATGTGTTTATGTAGATTGCAATAGCTCATATGGTTATGGTTGACTTGTTAACGAGCCTTTTAAAATTTGGTTGGATTTATCATTTCAGGCATGTACAGCCAAGAGTTCACCTTCTGTGAAAAAGTTAAGGAGAGGTTACGCAGTTCGGATGATTACCAGGCATTTCTGAAATGTCTTCATATTTATAGCACCGAAATAATCACAAGAAAAGAATTACAGAGTTTGGTATGAATATCATTCCATCTTTTGTTGTGTTTCAACACTTCACTAGCCACTTTTTGGATATCAATAGCTCTTAATTTATATTTTTATTCAGTTCATTTTGTTCAAAAACCATCTTAATTATGCCCCTATTCCAACAATTGATTTACATAATAGTAGTATATGCTCCAACTTGCATTTTAATTTTCTATCATCTCTCTATTTAATGGCAACATTTATCTTGCTTTAAATTGAACCTCTGAATATTGAATCGCTGCTCTTCCTTTGCCTATCTATCATGTTTACTCAGGCTCTGTCCTATTTTTTATTTGGTGGCAACATGTAAATGCACTTCTTTATCTGTTACTAACATGAGTTATTTTCAGGTTGCTGATTTACTGGGTAAATATCCTGATCTCATGGAGGGATTCAATGAATTTTTGGAACGCTGTGAACGAATTGGTATTGCTAATGTTTTGTCGTGTGTAACATTTTACGTTTTGATTTTTTTTGTTTCTAGTTCTGACTTGGTGTTTGTTTTGCAGATGGATTTCTTGCTGGTGTTATGGGCAAAAGTATGTAATTTTCCTGCTATTTGTTTCCATGTTACTTTATGTATAGCATGTATCGTACTTATTTTATTACATTCTTGAACCATTATATAATCTGAATTCTAAAAATAAGTAACTGTGACTTACTCATTTGACCACAAATTGTGGCTCAAAAATTAATAAGTCAAATTTTTTTTGGTAAATGTAAAGACTCCTATTTGTGATTGGACAATGCTACATGTAAAAACATTTTTTTATACAATTCTTTACTTACTATTCACGTTAGGAGTGGGGACCACAAGTCGTCATTTTTTAAATACATGTGAGGTTCACACATTATGTGAGAGGGAGTGAAAGATTTTGTGAACCATAGTTTGCACATATATATTTATCCTTTGTGATGTTATACCACTTTTGAAAAGGCTGGCAGTGAAATTTGGGCTACGAGAGCCCATATCTTGCAAGTCCAAAAGCCCAAATTATTCTGTTTTCGCGCAAAAGCCCAATAGTTTCCAAATTTCTACTTCTAATCCTCTTATACACGTAAGTATACCTCTTCTCATATTGAGAGATTTCGGTTTTTTCACCTCCGTTTTTTCGTATAGTTGATTGTTATTGTTAGAGTTCTCTCAAGGTTAGAGAGAGAAAGTTAGAAAGAAGGGGAAAGTAAAAGAAGGAAAAATTCAGAAAACAATTCGATCCAAAGAATTGAACTGATCTTTCAATATTTGGTTGGTTAAGATTAGATCTGTTCGCTGTTTTTCCCTTTCTGAAGGTAAAGAACTTTACTGGTCAGTTTCTGTGAGAAGTGTTTTTTTTTCTTCTAAACTTTCTTTTTGTTCATCTCGCGTTTGAATTTTACGGTTTGTTTTATTTTGATGATTTTTGTTTGTTATTGCAGGAATGAAGCGATCACGAGAGGAGGTTTATGTGAACCCTCAATTTAAGCGGCCATTGGGTTCTTCGTCTTCTCGTGGAGAATCGTAAGCTCTTTAATATTTGTATATATGGAATTGGTTCGTTTCTTGTGATTTATTATATTCATCTGTGGTATCGTGATTTTTTTCTCGGTAGTAGCGGTCTTTTGTTCGAAGATAAACTATGTGGTGTTGAATTTAAAAGTTACTTGTTTTCGATTCAAGTAAAATTTTGACGATCAGAGCTAGTGGATAACATTTTTGCTCTTCTATAGAAACTCCGTCAGTTCTCCTTAACAGCAGTAAGAGAGATGGCACCGGAAATAGGAAGAATTAGGTTATACTATCATCTAGGGTAGCTGAGAGTTCTTGTTTTATTTTTAATTTTTTGGGGGGTGGTGGTAGGTGTGATGGGCCGATAGGGAAATAAAGTTTGGGTCTTTAGACGTGGCGCTGCTTTGCTTTGGGGTTTATTATCAAGCACCGGAAATAGGAAGAATTAGGTTATACTATCATCTAGGGTAGCTGAGAGTTCTTGTTTTATTTTTAATTTTTTGGGGGGTGGTGGTAGGTGTGATGGGCCGATAGGGAAATAAAGTTTGGGTCTTTAGACGTGGCGCTGCTTTGCTTTGGGGTTTATTATCAATTTATTTTATAGTTATTACACCCTCAGTCCCACAAAGATAGGCTTGCTTTTCTTTTTTCGTCAGTCCCAAATTATAGGCCACTTTCCTCATTGAAAATATAATTAATTTCTTAGTTTACTAATATATCCCTATTTAATGTACTTTATTATTAACAAATTTGAACTACTATTTATATCATTATTTTATGTAAAGGTATATTAGGAGATTGTTTTCCAATAAATTACTTTTCTTAATCTTTGTGAAAATGGAAACAAGCATATCTTTGTGGTACGGAGTAAGTATTATTTCCTTTTTTCTATGGGCGATGGGATTCATGGGAACGGTTCAAAGTTATAAACGTCTCAATTATTTTTTTGGCTGTATTGAACGGAGGTTTTTACATTGAACCTGACTGGTAGTCGTAGTAGTGGAAATTAACGACCTTTAGGAACAAACATAGCAGCCAATGATATGATAGTGATATTTTCGGTGGAGGAGAGTACTCATACGGTCTTGTGTCTCTTGACTCTCTTCCGAAGGTATTCTCTGTTAGCATTCTTGCCTGTGCTCTTCTAAGTGTAACATAATGGATAAGTGAAAGCATTGACTATCTAGACGCATACTTCATTCAAGGGTCCTTGACCATCCTTTATAAATGGGAATTATGGTTTCTGGAAAAGTAAATTTAAGTGCACAAGGGAGAGAACTAATAATTAATTAGAGCTCATGTGTGCAGTGCACGTGTTGTCTAATTAAGTTTCAGTTGTATCTATTTTTGAATTATCATTGTGACGTGTGTATTTTAAATTTCCTTGTAATAAAGCTATGGGCTGTCACATGCCCCTGGCGGCGGCGGCGGCAGCGGTAGCGGTGTTGGAGGAGGTGGTGCTGTTGCTGGAGGTAGTGGCAATGTCGGTGGTGGTGCTGGTGGTAGTACACAAAAGCTTACAACCAATGATGCCCTAAGTTATTTGAAGGAAGTCAAGGACATGTTCCAAGATGAAAGAGAAAAATATGACCGGTTCCTTGATGTCATGAAAGATTTCAAGGGACAAAAGTAAATCATCTTCCTTGTTAAGATTAGCTTGTGCATATTACTATTGAATGGATCACTTTTTAGCAACTTCATTTTAATATGTTACTTGCAGAATTGATACAGCTGGTGTTATAGGACGGGTGAAAGAGTTATTTAAGGGGCATCCTAATCTTATCCTTGGGTTCAATACATTCTTGCCCAAGGGTTATGAAATCACCCTTACTGATGAGGAAGAGGCTCCAAAAAGGACGGTCGAGTTTGAAGAGGCTATAAGTTTTGTAAACAAGATTAAGGTGAAAATTTCTTATCACTTACACAGTAAGGGGTTTGAAATAAAGTTTCTAAATAGAATATAAATACCAATATCCTACTGGACTTTGTGCACCTGCAGAAACGATTCCAAAATGATGATCATGTTTATAAATCATTCCTTGACATCTTGAATATGTATCGGAAGGAACACAAGGGTATCACTGAGGTTTACCAAGAGGTATATGCATCTTGTTGAAATGTTTTGTGTTGAATAGAATAAGCAGACTCCTTGGAATTTGTCAATTTCTAGATTTTTGTGGTGCTTCTAATTATTTTAGTTTGTAAAATCCATTTGCAGGTTGAGGCCCTTTTTAATGACCAACCAGATCTCCTTGAGGAGTTCACTAGATTTTTGCCAGATACTTCAGCTACAGCATCAGTGGCACATGCTTCTTTTGGACGGCGTCCATTCAATCATTATGATGAGAGGAGCTCTGCAATGCCCACAATGCGGCAATCCCATGTAGATAAGGTTATAATTTTGTACACTTGTTTTTCTTTATGTATCTGTTTTATCATTTCTTGTTTCTAAATGAGATGGCCTACAACATTTAGCAACGTTTGCGGAGGGATAGGATTATTAGTCCCCATGGAGAACGTGATCTTAGTGTTGAGCGCCTAGATCTGGATGATGATAAAACAGTGATGAAGAAGAAGCGTGCTGACAAGGAGAACAAGGATAAGAGATATCGTGATCACGATGACAGGGAACCTGACAATGAAAACAATGGGGACACTAGCATGCATCGGCTTTCGGAGAAAAAGAAATCTTCCCGAAAGGTTGATGACTTTGGAGGGAATTCTAATTTGGCTTCCTGTGATGATAAAGATACATTGAAAAGTGAGTGAACGAGGCCCCTATATTTTATTAGAATATAGAGTAATTGTCCAATTCTGGTATCAACTTGCATGCCCATATTTCTGCAACAGTGGAATCCTGGGATTTTTTGTGTTTTTTGTTTTCTTTGTAGGAAATTAGTATAATTGAAAAATCCTTAAGTGCACTATAATTTTTTTAATGATTTATCTTAACACCCCTCTAAAATAAAGAGAGAGTAAAATTTAGAAATTATTTATGAGTACAACTATATTTTTTAAGTTTATGTTTCAAGAAAAAGACGTTACAATATGTGTTTATGTAGATTGCAATAGCTCATATGGTTATGGTTGACTTGTTAACGAGCCTTTTAAAATTTGGTTGGATTTATCATTTCAGGCATGTACAGCCAAGAGTTCACCTTCTGTGAAAAAGTTAAGGAGAGGTTACGCAGTTCGGATGATTACCAGGCATTTCTGAAATGTCTTCATATTTATAGCACCGAAATAATCACAAGAAAAGAATTACAGAGTTTGGTATGAATATCATTCCATCTTTTGTTGTGTTTCAACACTTCACTAGCCACTTTTTGGATATCAATAGCTCTTAATTTATATTTTTATTCAGTTCATTTTGTTCAAAAACCATCTTAATTATGCCCCTATTCCAACAATTGATTTACATAATAGTAGTATATGCTCCAACTTGCATTTTAATTTTCTATCATCTCTCTATTTAATGGCAACATTTATCTTGCTTTAAATTGAACCTCTGAATATTGAATCGCTGCTCTTCCTTTGCCTATCTATCATGTTTACTCAGGCTCTGTCCTATTTTTTATTTGGTGGCAACATGTAAATGCACTTCTTTATCTGTTACTAACATGAGTTATTTTCAGGTTGCTGATTTACTGGGTAAATATCCTGATCTCATGGAGGGATTCAATGAATTTTTGGAACGCTGTGAACGAATTGGTATTGCTAATGTTTTGTCGTGTGTAACATTTTACGTTTTGATTTTTTTTGTTTCTAGTTCTGACTTGGTGTTTGTTTTGCAGATGGATTTCTTGCTGGTGTTATGGGCAAAAGTATGTAATTTTCCTGCTATTTGTTTCCATGTTACTTTTATGTATCGCATGTATCGTACTTATTTCTTGAATTTCAGAGGAGAGAAGTAACCTCAGCCCACCCAAATAAAATAGAAAAAGGAAAATGCAAATGCAAATACATAAGAAAAATGTAAAAAAGACACTCCTTTTTTTGAGTAGAAAAAAGTACAACTTCATGATAAGCGGTAAGTTGCGGTTCACTTTTCTTGATGTGTATTCTAAGGAATTTGTTCTATTAGCAGAATCATTATGGAATGAAGGACATTCTTCAAAGGACTTGAGAATAGAGGACAAAGATAAAGAACAGAAGCGTGAATTAGATGCAGGTAAAGAAAAGGATAGGTACAATTTGAAGTACTGGGGAAAATCCATTCAGGAGCTTGACCTTTCTAACTGTCAAAGTTGCACTCCCAGTTATCGGCTTCTTCCTGAGGATGTATGAATATTTGCTTTTCTCTTCTCTTTCTTCAGCTTATGTACTATTTTTCTAGCCTAATAGTTTTGTTACTTTATGAAGTGAAAAGTATATATCAGTTTAATTTAAGAAATCATGTTTTATTATTATTATTATTATTTTTTTTTTTTTTGACATTCCTTTTATATATTTATCTATGCAGTATCCAATAACTTCAGCAAGCCAGAGGTCGGAGCTTGGTGGTCTGGTTCTAAATGATCATTGGGTATCTGTCACATCTGGTAGTGAGGATTACTCTTTTAAACACATGCGTAGAAACCAGTATGAAGAAAGCCTGTTTAGATGCGAAGATGATAGGTATGCCACCTTCCCAATTTTTAACTCATCCTGTTGTCCTCCCCTATATGGTCTAGAGCTGGTCTTTGATCCCATGACCTTGGTAACATAAAAAGAGGAAGTTGAGCTCATCTTGCCTCTCCCCCCTATGCTGGTGACTTCTAGTCATTATCTTCTGGCATACATTGAGTAAACACTTTTTTGCTCTGCTACATATTTAAGTTTCAGGAGTGAAATATCATAAGAAGCATGGATAATTGTAAATTCATTATGTACCCCGTATTCGATATGTATCCAAGTTTGGACAGTCTCCTATACGCTTCGATACATATCGGATATGTGTTTTTTAATTATTCTATGTTTGTTATATTTTTTAAATTTTCTATACGTATTTTTAATTATTTTTTTATACCAATCGGCACCTTACTATCCTCTCTGGTGGCAATGCAACAAAAAAAGTTTCAAGCCTTATTCAATTGTTGAAATCTTTTGGCATCAAATCAAAAAGGACGCTTTGTCGACCAATAATAGTTGGTGCGTTAGCACTTTAGTTTTATTGCAGGATTAGAACTCATGAAGGAGAGTTTTACTGGTTTTAAACTCTTTTAAAACTCATTATTATTGGCTTTAGATTAACAAAAAAATTTACTTAATAGATAACAATTGTTATTATCAATAATTTATTGAAAATAGTTAATATTTATTGGAAATACACAACTGAAGTTTTAATTTAACTGAAAGCTGGAATTTTTCCTTTTTTTTTTTTTTTTGGAAATACGCAATGGTATTAACTCTCTTAATACATGTAAAATCGTGTTAATAGTTGACAAATATATTTTTATTTTTGTAAAATTTAAATAGATAATAATATTAAATCAAAGGAGAATTCAAAATGTGGGACGCCGAAGACTCATTTGATATTCTTGAAAGTGTTAGATTACTTGATATTGCTAATCTGTTATTAGATGAGCTAGAGCTGGAAGGTATTATTTTTAATGATAATGACGAGGCTGATATGGGTAATGTTGAAGAAAATGAAGTTGGGACGATTAAGGATTAGAATAAAATGCTTTAGTATTATTTTTAGAGCTGGAAGGTATTATTTTTATTATCATGCTTCTGTTATATATTTATATATCCGCGTATTCTAATTTTTAAAAAAAGTTATATCAATGTATTTGTATCATATCATATTCGAATTACGCATCCGAATCCCTGCTTGTTAGGGAATATCTACTCTTGGTATTACCACCTCAACCTGTGCTTCCATATTTTCTAGTGTTTTTCCAACATGATGAGCCTGAGCTTTTCCTAATTGGAGGTTTTCCTTTGTTCATCGGATTTCTGTTGGATGTTTCAGATTCGAACTAGACATGTTGTTGGAGTCTGTGAGTTCGACTGCAAAGCGTGCAGAGGAACTCTTGAACAGTATCAATAATCTTTCAATTGGTTCAGATGGTCCCATACGTATTGAGGAGCATTTTACAGGTGTGCAATTGTGGTATTGAGGATATATATTTGCGCTCGAAAGCTATTTTGTCCAATCCAGTCCTCTCATTCAATTAAACACACACGGGGACACGCGTACATATGTATATGTGTATGTATTTATGTATATATATTCATGTATTTTTACTGATATATGGGTTCTTCCTCTTGGTTTTTAGCTCTAAACTTGAGATGCATTGAACGTCTATATGGTGATCATGGTCTTGATGTGATGGACATATTGCGTAAAAATCCACCCCTTGCGTTACCTGTTATTCTAACCCGCCTTAAGCAGAAGCAAGAGGAATGGACTAAGTGTCGTTCAGATTTTAACAAAGTTTGGGCTGAGATTTATTCTAAGAACCATTACAAGTCTCTTGATCACCGTAGCTTCTATTTCAGGCAACAAGATTCAAAGAACTTGAGCACAAAATGTAAGTTGAGCATTGATGTTATATATGATCTATTGTTTCATCTGGTGATATGAATTTGTTATATTACTTTTCATTTTCTTGTCCAATCATTATAAAAATGCAATATGATAATGTTAACATTTGGGTGGAATATCTATTATTTCATTAAATGGTTGCATGTTCATGATGAAATGATTTCAAATTTAGCCTTTTGCATTCAGTGGAAATTTTGCTGCAGTGTTGTTGTGCATCAAGAAGTTAGTGAGAAACTATATTCAATTATTTTAGAATGATATTTCTTGATTTGTGTGTTTTTATCATCAGCATTTTAACTAGTCATGGCTATTGTCTTTGTTATTGCTGCTCCATTGTCTTTGATGCCATTTACTGTGCTTGGTGACTCCAGTGTCACTGTCACTACAACAATCTTTTGGCTCATCTCCAGTTGTATGCTTTAGTACAACCATTAATGCCACAACCTCATGGATCAGATCACCAGTTGCATGCTTTCATACAACCGTTAATGCCACAACCTCATGGCTTAGATCTGCAGGATCATTGTATTTTCTTCCTTGGGAAATTTGCCAGGAAACATTTCCATCTCCTTTTGCCTCTTCACATTTGCAAAAAAATTGTTTGTTATCATTGGGAATATAATTTCTCTGAAATATACTGCCACCTTTTACTAATTGATACCAATGCCTCACACTTATTGTTGTTTAATGTCCCTTTTAGTTATCTCTTGCCTGTGTAACATTTTAAGCATATACAAATTGTGATTCTATCTCCCCTCATTGAAAACGTTATAATTTTCTTCTGGATCATGGATGGATCGATTATTTATATGAGTCACTATTTGGATTATTTGGAGACTGCGAATGGTGCTCTCAATTGATTTTCTGGTTCTCATAGCTATTTTTTCATTCTTTTGATGGACAGCCTTAGTTGCAGAGATCAAAGATGTCAAGGAGAAAAATCAGAAAGAGGATGATGTACTTATCAGTATTGCTGCTGGAAGCAGACATTTCATCAGTCCAAATCTTGATTTCCAATATGCTGATGTTGATGTTCATGAAGACGTGTATAAAATTGTTAAGTATTCGTGTGAAGAGGTCTGCTCGACGAAGGAACAATTAAATAAGGTACTAAGGTTCTGGACCTCTTTTCTTGAGCCGATGTTGGGGGTTCGTACTCGGCCTCATGGTACAGAGGCTACTGAAGATGATGGTGCCTCTAAGTGCCGAACTGCGAAAAATGCCGCAACAAGAATAGTTGAAATTGATGAAAGACCCAGTGTTGATGCTAATACCATAGACTTAAAGCAGCCAAAGCCTATCTGCAATGGAGATCCAAATGCTTCACCTCACCAAGTAAATTCCTGCAAGACTGACTTTACAAATGGGGGTGGTGTGCTGGCTAAAGCCGGTGGATCAACTGTGGCTTCTGGCGAAAGATTAACCAACTCTGACACAGCTGTTACTAGAGGACCAGATACTAATCATGGTATGCATGTGGGGGCAACGGTTATGGCTTGTATGTTATTGGTGATTTGTGAAGATAGATTGGCATTTTGATATTCTTGTACAGCTGATTCATGATAGTATTGCGTAGATTATCTTCCATCTATTTATCGATTGGTTATGATCTTACTTATTTTTTTCTTTTTTCTTTCTTTCTTTCTTTCTTTTTTTTTGGGTCAAAATCATGGATATATATTTTGAACTTCAAGGATGTGCTGCAAATCATTCGCGAGCTAGTAACAGTCCTACTGAGGAAGGTCATGGAGCCAAGCCTAATATGGAAGATTTAATGTCCTTGGAGGTATGAGCATATGGTTGTAGCCTGTCATTTGGATCCCAAATATGTTCTGAAATAGGCATCTCTTTTTATCATAATTAGTCACTGCCAATCATTTGTTCCGAACCGTGGGTTAATGGAATCCTTTAATGAATCCATCAATACAAGCATCGAAAATGCTTTTATTGCATCCCATTTGTTTGTTTGTGGGGGTGGGGGTGGTTAAAGCATGTTGGTTTTTCTTTTTATCTTGACATATTTATTTTTCTTTTTCTGAAATAGGATGGTGAAACGTCAAAGTTGAATCAATCTGCAAATGGAGGGTTTGAAGAAGGATCCAGACATAATGGATATAATAAAGGTTCTATTGATCCCTGCAAAAATGAGAAAGAAGAAGGCGAGCTATCACCAACTGGTGATTTTGAAGACAATTTTGCCACCTATGCGGATGGCAGTTTACAAACCGCTCGTAAAAAAAATCACTGCAATGATAGCATGCAATATGAAACAGGTGGCCACGAAGAAATTTCTCCAGATGGAGATGCTGATGACGAGGACAGTGAAAATGTCTCTGAGGCTGGTGAAGATGTTTCAGGAAGTGAGTCTGCTGCTGATGAGTGCTCCAGGGAAGAGCACGAGGAAGATGGAGAACATGATGTTAAAGATGAGAGCGAAGGTGAGGCTGAAAATCTGGATGAAGATCACTGTGTTGGAGGAGATGGTGTATCAGTGCCACAGTCTGATCGTTTCCTACTGACTTGTCAGCCTTTGTCAAAGTATGTGGCTTCTCCGCTACTAAGTGATGGGAAAACAGATCGACATATTTTTTATGGGAACGACACCTTTTACGTGCTTTTCAGGCTGCACCAGGTAAGGTTACAATAAACTTATTTATTTATTTATTTTTCCTCTCTGTTTATTTGATCCAAGTGGAAATGCTTCCTTGCCCCAAAACCCGCTCCAAAAAATCTTAAAGAATAAAAGAACTAATCTCTAGAATTATAGCATGCGTGTTGGTTTTAGGTTTACGCTTTTCATTTCTTTATTTTATTTTACATGATTTGTTGTTAATTCTTCCAGACACTATATGAGAGGATATTATCAGCTAAGGTGAACTCAGCATCTGCTGAATCCAAATGGAGAAGCACAAAGGACACATGCTCTGATCCCTATGCAAGGTGATTAAAAAAATAGTATATAATGAGTTTGGGAGTTATATTGAATTCCATTAATTCTAGTGGAACATGATAAATGCAGATTCATGAGTGCACTGTTTAGTTTGCTTGATGGATCTTCTGATAATGCAAAATTTGAGGATGATTGTCGATCACTACTTGGAAATCAGTCTTATGTGCTATTTACATTGGATAAGCTGATATATAAGTTAGTCAAACAGGTAAGCTTCCTAAAAATTGTTTTACTGCCTTTCCATTTCTTCTCTGCTTAAAAGTGTATTGTTTGAATAATGTTTCTCTTTACAGCTCCAAACCGTTTCCAGTGAGGAGGTGGACTTCAAGCTGCTTCAATTGTATGAGTATGAAAAATCTAGAAAACCTGAGAGTTATGTTGATTTGGTTTATTACGAAAATGTTCATGTCCTTTTGAACGACGAGAATATATACCGGATAGAATGTGTAGGTTTCTTGATACTTTGATTGATTCCTTCTAGTTATATGTCACTATATATTTGTATCGTGTTTATTTGAAAAGGAGATAATTAGTTATTTTCATGCTTCTTGTAGACATCTTTCCCCACCTGTTTGTCTATCCAATTAATGGATGATGGAAATGAGAAGTCTGAAGTTGTTGCCGTTTCTATGGACCCTAACTTTGCAAACTATCTCCATAATGATTATCTTCCAGTTGTTCCTGGACGAAAGGAGTCGTCTCCGGTTATGCTGAAGAGGTATTGATGTTATTTGTCATCGTCACATAATTAAGAAATAAGCATCATCCTGCTTACCATAATGAACTTTAAAAAATTGTTGTTGTGCTTAACAAATTTCGTCTAAGAAGATGAGGAGTGGAGTGTTATTTGTATATTATACATGTTTCTTGTACATAATAGTTAATTTAATTTTATATCCATATGAGATACGAAATTAGATTTTTGGAATTAAATTTTTTTAATACTATGACCTTTAATAAACTGCTGGATTCTTTATTGTAACAAGGCTTGGGACTTTACCTCTTTGTTTCTATGACTGATATGATTAGACACAATTAGACTATGCTAGCAGCATGTTTTAGTATATACCCATGATTTAATTGATGCTAAGTATCAGCTTTTGAGTCTTAGTTTTCCCGTGCAAATTATACTTGAGTTATGGATTATAAAAAAAGTCTCGTGGTACTCATTATTCCTGCTAGTGCTAGAGTGAAATGAGTAGTACAGGTTATCCATCAATTCTGAAATACGTTTGCTTTGTATCTCATCTGCACATTCTATTTTTTTTGTTTGTCAACTCCATTAATACTTTTGACAATGGACGCGCATAAACAAACCCTATACTTGCAGTAGAGTTGTAGAAGAAGGGAAGGGGAAGAGGAGAATAAAGAGGGGAAGAAGAGAAACTAGACATAGGAGAATTTGGAGTGGAAATATTGTCTCTTCTATTCATCAGAAGTCGGTACAATATAATGCATAATACTGTACATAAACCCTGTCATGGGGTTTTGCCTAGTCTGGTTTAAGTAGGAAACCAACAAGGGTAATACCTAAATTTAGTCGAAGTAGGAAATTTTAATAATTCCAAATAGAACAACTCTAAACTTGGCAAGATAATATTATGAAATCTCTATGAATCTCATCTTTCTCATCTGTCTAGAGAAATCGGCCCCAGCAGGATAGACTAAGACAACATTGCCAAGGGGACGATCTTTCTTCCTAATCAATAATCAATATTGAGCTCATATCTTCTGAAGAATTAGCTAATTAAAAAAAGCAGCAAGAGTGAAGGATTAGCACATTGAATTGGAACAAATGATTGGAGATTCTCCCAGGTTGACTTTGGCAAGATAGAATGAGAACATTTTAGAGGGAATGATCTTTCTTCCTAACTAAAAATCGATATTGAGCTCCTAATGGAAACATAGTGTGTGTGTCATCTGAATCATTAGCTAACTACAAAAAGTGGGGGGGAAAAGTACGAAGGACAAGCACATTGGATTGGAACAAATGATTGCAATATTAATGGCTTGAATGTGCTTTGACAAGGAAACAATTCTATTCAAGTGCGATAGCTAGTAAAATAGAGGAGCATTTGATTTTATGCGATTGATCAAGAACGTTTTCCTTAGCATGTTTAGTATAGTGCACAAAGCATAACATAAAAATCCCATTGAAGTATTTGTGCCTACCGTGAACATTAAAAGAAATCTCATAATATCTAATGTAATTCTTCAGCATGAAAATGGTGAATATGGTCGACGGTCTAATGACAATTGGAAAGGTTTGCAAACATATTGAAGCGACATGGACCCATCAAACAACATAGTAAACTTTAGGACAAAGTCAATGTGAAAGTAACATCAAGGACTAAGAGAGTGATTTTGGCACTAAGTCAAGGGCTTGTGGAATGTTTACATGGGTGGAAAATCTTAATAATTCTTCAAGTGGGGCATTGTTATCCGTGTCCAGTAAAGGTGTGATCGCAATAGGCAAAGTGAGGGGCTGAGGGCTCATATGGAACTTAAAATTTTCGTCCTTACTATTGGAACATTCTATGGGATCAGTAGCAATAGTCTATCTTCTTCTTGGTTTGGAGAATGAAAATTGAGTTTCTTGACAGGAATCTGTTTTGGACATTCAGAATCTAAAAGTTCAACTAAGTGACAAAATTGAGAATTGGGACAGCAAATGAACATGGCCTGGACACTGGAAGAACAATACACTAAATGAAGTTCGGCTTTCTAGCAAGTAGATTTGTTTGTAGAGTTTATCTTGGAAGATTAACCCAACTACTCTCACTCCTAAGCGTAGGATTAGACCTTTGGGAATCAGGTGACAAATGTGGTGTATGCTTTGTGGGATTTACTTTCAGCTCTGAGAATTTACTTCTTCGGTTGTTTAGAGATGTGTTGACGTAGAAGTATCTTTCTAAGTGTAACGCTCAGGGGTAAGCTTCGTCTAAAGTCTCGGGGTGGGATATGAATTTATATGATGCTTAAGCTCAGGAAGTAAGCCATTTACTAATTTGGAAGTTGTGACGTGGGGAGTCGATAATAGTTGGATTAAATTGCCTTTATTGCAAAAAGAATTGGTCTTGATGAGCAGGGATGTATCCGTTGCTTAATATTCATTTCATCTCATTCTATCCTACAAAGTGATAGGACATTGATCGAGATGGTTAATGTTACGTAGTACAGACTACCAATAATCATTGGTGGATCCTACAATTGTGAAACCAGCAACATGAATAGAGCAAGAGTTACTCATGTTATGCAATTTAAAGAAGCTTTCAAGAGTATTGAGACAAATAAGAAAGCCTCACATTAGGTTCACTAAAGTATCACGATTGAATATGGTTTCCTAAGTAACATAATGGACTCTTTCAACATTGNTAAGAAAGCCTCACATTAGGTTCACTAAAGTATCACGATTGAATATGGTTTCCTAAGTAACATAATGGACTCTTTCAACATTGGCCCTCCTAGAATGAGAATAGTTGTATTGATAAGGCAAGGTTAAATGTTCCCAATGGTGGCATCTAGCTAAGGGCTCAGCATATTTACGAGCCATGGTTTTAAAAATTCCATTGGGGTGCCCGCATCAGAGTGAGGTGAGCAAAAGAGTCCTCAAAGAAAGCACTGATCGTGAGGCAATTTTTGGAGGTGTATAACTGAGGAGTTTGAGATTCGTGCCTTAAAGCACTCACCCAAAGTTTGCATGGTGCATGCTTTTTGATTCTTAAAACTTATTTACTTTGCTTTTGGGGACCTAAAAACACAAAAATACTGATTGACCCATTTTGGGAATAGCCCGTTGCCCTTATAAATGTTAAATAAAATGTTTTTTTCCTCATACGCCCACTTTGGAAATAATACATTGCCGCCATCAAACTGAAATAATAGCTCATTTTTCTTGTAACTTTATAGATTTTTCTTTTGTTTGTTTGTACACTTTAATTTGTTCTTTTATGAACTTGATTTTTTATGAGCTTATTTTGCATTTTAATAATAACTTGACTTTGTCTTGGTTTACTGTGGGGCTTAGTTCTTGTCTCATGAAGTTAAAATGCCTCGGTACTCTGTTACCTTTTTAAGCATTGCCTTGGAGGCTTCACATATGAGTTGTTCATGTATGTTGAAATTAAAGATGATATAACAAAAATTACAATGCATAAAACGTTTTTATATGAACAGTTAATGCACAAAATAGGAACACAAATTTAAAGATAAGGTCCAGTATTTTTTTACCGCTTTTTCTATCGGGGCTTGCCTGGTGTAATTTAAGGAAACCAACTAAGGAAATAAAACTTAACTTTAGTCAAAATAGAAAATTACAGTAATTGAAATAAAATAACTCCTAATTTGGAAAGACAAGTATGATATCTTTAAGAATCTTCATCAACTTTGGATGGACAGGACTGTTTTGCTGATGCTAATATTGTAAAAAGAATTGATAACCCGATAAAATGAATTAGAAAGGGAGGAACATATTAGCTAATTTTTTTTCTCATGTGTCTGGTGGTACTTGATTTTTTTTCCTTGTTTTCTGTTACTGATCTTGATTTACGCAGAAATTAATTAATTTTGTCAATTGGATGTTTAATCTGTTCATAACACGTGCAGGAATATGCATAAATATGCCAATCTCGATGAATCTTCTGCTTTGTGTATGGCTGCAAAAAATGTTCTATCGATTAATGGTTTGGAATGTAAGATGGCATCCAACTCATCCAAGGTATTCTTTATCCTATTATGGTATCTTGCACCTACACTAAGATCCTATGATCCGTTCATTTACAAATATGAATAATTTCTAGTTCAATGTAATCTTCATTGAATTAGGTGTTGATTGATGCCTGTTGATTTCAATAAGCTGACGCTTTTATTGCTTGTTACACAACCATGAGTACTTACGTCTTGAATTAATTTCATGATACTTACGTCTTGAATTAATTTTATTGCTTGTAGTATGCTAGTCCGGTTCTCTTTGCTTGTAGCCATGATATTATGTCTAAATTATTTGAATGCCCTCTGGTTGAAGTTTCCAATTACTTTGCTCAAGTGGAATCTCCCAGATTAAGTGATCTATTTATTTCATGAAAAATTATGCCTCTAATTACAAAATTTGCTTTCAGATATCTTATGTCCTGGACACAGAGGACTTTTTTATTCGTTTGGGGAGGAGAAGGAACCAATTGGGGGACAGATCGTCATGCAATAACCAAGCTAGGGTATTACGGTTTCACCAATTTTTGACAACCTCGACATGATATATTTGGCCTTACTATGATGCCGTGACTATTAAGGTATTTGTACTTTTTCTTTATTGAGTTTTTCAAAAATTAACACCTTGTTTAGTAGTTATGCTTAAAAAGTTAACTCTCAACGTCACAAGTTTCACAATAATCAGCTTTTTTATTGTGGTTAAAATGGAAATAATTTTGACAGCCAAGTAAGATCTACTTTCAGAATAGGTAACTTTTCTTAAAAAATTCGAGATAGTAATCTTTTCTCCCTTTATAAGATCTAATAGTCTATTTACTTGCTCATGTGTTTCTCTTTGTTAGAGTGTATTCTCACTAGGTCCGCTCGATACATGACTGAGCAGCAGATTATTTACTTCTCAACGAGCCCAGTAACCGTGAGGGAATGGAGTTTCTCTGGATTGTTACGTCTTGTGAACTTATGTTAATGGTATGTGCTCCATTCATCTGTATATAGGACTCGCCGTTAATCTCAATTGTAGAGTCGTGTTTATTAGTGATTTCATGAGCGAAAAATAGCCCCTTGCTTTCATTTTGTAATCTCATAGTCTTTATTTGATTCTGCTATAAGTAAGAGATAGTGATGGTGGGAGAGGGAAATAGTATGGTAGAATGTTCAGATTTCAAAAGTTCAAAATGTTCTTTTATCTTTTTTTGTACAGAGCTTAAACCCTGATTCCTGTTTAAAGACTCTTTGTAAATTAAGGTCTTCCCATTTTATCAATATCTTTTATATGTTGGTCTCATTTTCCTTCAATGTTGATTTGGTGATTGATGAATATGGAAGAGTTAGACCCAAATTACATTGCTGCTACAGTCCCCAATCTTTAGCACGGTATGTGTTTACGCTGTAAATTTATTCGAAAGAAGCATTATGGAAACAACAAACCAACCCAAGTCAATGGATTGGAAAAAGACCGTGGCTAATTAATTGAAAAACAATAGCATGTACCAGCAAAATATGAAGTTCAGTGACTCTGGAGGTGAAGTTAGTGGAGACCTAAAATCAATTTGATGGTGTAACGGGGGTTTCAATTAATAAAATAAAGCAGCCTTGATTTGGACAACTTACGAAAAATTTTGGCGGGATGGTCGCATTGTCTTACGTGGTGCGATCGTAGAATAAAGAGTTATCACCAGATGAGGTGGCCCACTAATACTTAATGAGGTGAGGTCATCTCGAGACTTGATTTTCTCTCTCTTTACACTTCAAGTTAAGAGGTGGCCTCACCTTATGGGTGAGGGTGGGCTACCTGAAGAAGTGGCTTCCCATTCAATTGTCATATCATGTAGGTTGGTGCAATTGTCACATCAAAGTTTTCCTCATTTAGAAGGCAAACAATTGTTAGTAGACAACCGTTAAATAATGCTATATAGTATTAGTGATGCTAAAGCATCGATGTATGTATTATTATGTGATAAATTCAATTAAATATGAAAGTATGTGATATATTTAATTATTACGTTTCATTTAGTGTCATTTAAACTGGTGTAACACCAATGTTGCAAAATAACATTATCGGACGATTTCTATACTTGACAGACATATACAAGATGGAGCCTAAATCCTTGGGATAGAGTAGGAGTAATATGTGTCTAAACAACGAATTCGCATTCCAATTCGGTCCCTGTTCTAACAAAGCAATAAAATTCAACGTTTTAATTTATACCTTGTCTGGATGTTGAACTTGATTATAACCCAATTTCCAATTTATTCGATTGAACTAACTAGTCTAATTTAATTATTATAACACAGCCATAACCAAGATCTTACATTCATAGTTCGAAATCAAAGAGAAGAATGTATGGTTCGCCATTTCTGACCAATGAAGTGCCGACCACTCAATAGTACATTTTTGAATAGTGTATTGATGGGAATGTATGGTTATGAAATAAGGAAAAAATTTGGATTTACGTGTAATATTATTTTATTGAAGAATGTGTGATTAAAATAATATCAAATTACTGTTTAAGCATATATTTTTTTTGAAAGAATGTGAGTCAAATAGGCCCTAAATACAGTCCCACGTCGAATCTGGACTGGGAATTTGCTAACATCTTAATTGCTCTGATTTAGTCCATTATCTTCAAAACTGAAGTTGGCAACTTATTTAATTTTGTGAATCTAAGTTCCTCATGCTGAATATTATATATGTGGACAAAATTGAAATAGACTTTCAGGAAACTCGTGGCTAGAAGGGGGAAAAAAAGAAGTCACCAAATCACTTATTATTTATCCTTAACCCAAGTAAAAATTATGTGTATTTTTAACGTCTACATTAACAATTTCAATCACATAGTTCCCAAATTCATATATTTAAATACATTGTTGTATAATAACACTCTTGAAAGTTAAGAGACCCAAAATCATGCTACCCATAAAATGGAGGTGCCTAGACCTAATTTTCTTAAAATTGAAGAGTTACATTATCACAAACGTGAGGACATCTTTTTATTAAGCCCTTGTTTGAGCCCCATTTTGAGGGAAAGAATGCATTTTTAAATAGCGATTGATAGAAAATGTGTTGTTAAAAATTAAGGAAATATTTTGAATTTTTGTGTAATATTATTTTATTGAAAAATGTGTAGTTGAAAATGAATTTTGATAAAAAAAAATGATTTTTCAGAAAAATGGAGCTCAAACAAGGGCTAAAATTTGACATTATCATACTTTTTGTATATACAATAGATATGTAAATATCTTCACATCACATTATGAATGCTACTGTCGTCACACTCACATTACATAAACTACATCTAAGATTTTAATTCTTTAAGATAGTGTAATTCTCAAATTAGATGAATATTTGAGAATAGAAGCATGTTTACCACACAGATTTTTTATGATTATTCAAGATAAAATATAAAATGGTGCTGCAATACCATGAACAAGGATATCAAGTGACCAACAATAGGCACCAAAAGGAAAAACTTAGGCTGTGTTTGATTGCATGAAAATTATTAATTAAAACCTTATTGATTTTCATTATTTTCAAAATACATTTTCTCTCTTCTTATCAATCACATATTTTTCAATATCATAATCACACGCAAATCCAAAATTTTTCCTTATTTTTTAATTACACATTCTTTATCAAGCTACTATTCCAAAAAAAACATTCTTAGGCCAAAAAATAGGGCTCAAACAAGCTTTGATTGATTTAATTTTCAACCTATAAGGGTAAATCAGATAGATGAAGTAGATGAGAGAGAAAGAGAGTTGTCTGGAAACTAAAAACCTAACCCTCCCTAAGAAAAAAATATTTTCCTTATTTTTCAGGAAAATGTATTCACGTGACCAATTTTTGAAAAATATTTTCATTAAAAAAAATGTCAATCAAATACCTAAAATTAGGAATTTGGAAACAGAACATTTTCCATATAAAATAAAGCGAATCAAACATACTCTTAAGGGGTGTTTGATAGACATTTTTTATGTAAAAATGTATTTTAGAATAGTAAATTGATGTGAAATCTGCGGTTGAGAAATAAAGAATTTTTTTTTATTTACGTGTAATATTATTTTAATAAAGAATGTGTGGTTGAAAAGAAGAGAGAGAAAAACGCATTTTGAAAAAAATGGCTATCAATCGGGGCCAAAGTCCCAAATCACAAAAGAAAACATGAGCCAATCAAAGAAGGTTTAAGCTTCTCATCCCGGGATTAGAAACAGGTGTTGCTATCCTTGTGTTTTTTCTGTTTTTTTTAACCGATCAATCACCTTCCGACCCGTGGCGTCTGGACCCGAAACCTGTTTTTAATCCCTGGATGTGTAGCTCGGTTCATCAAAGAAGAGGAAACTATTCATGGTACTGTATATTACTGCATAAAGTACATGGGAAGAACCATTCAAGGGACCTTTGGCCCAAGCCCAAAATCAATCTATTTTTTATTTTTTATTTTTAATTTAGGGTTTTCATTTATTTATAGTCCAGCCCATATACTAATTTGTCCAAACTCCAAGTGCACGGTGACATTTTCTAACTTTTTCCCGGGACAAGAAATTAAAAATTTTCTTTTAATCTGCCCTCATTTTGGAATCTTTTTTTCTTCTCTTTCCTAAAACCCACATTTTCTTGGCCTCAAATTTGCAACACAAACTTTCTTGATCATGTGAATTTTCTGTTTTATATTGGAGATTTTTTCTGTTTAATATTAAGTATTTTGATTATGTGAATGTTGAATATTGGTAATATTTGTAATGAATTCTTGAAATCTTGATTTCTGTCAATTAGCTAAACAATTAGTGATGATTTTCTGGTGTCTACCAATTTATAAAAATTAGTATTTATTTTCTTATCAATTAGTATCTAATTCTCATTTGTGATTTATTTTAGTGTTAAGAGCCAATGAAGAAATTCTTTAAAAGGAAATATTTCGTAGAAATATTGATGAGGATATATCGAATAAAATTGATTTTGATGTTGCACAACTCGCTACAAATCCTAAAATAAGGAAGAAAATGATTATTTTATTAGTGTTGTCGCTATGTCATTTTTAGCATTGTCATAATATCATTAATTCCATAACCGAAAAATTCAACCTTGATTAAATTTTGCCTGCATTGGACAAAATCCCTGGCTCCGGCCCTGACAAAGTATATACCCCGTAGATCAAATAAACCAATTTTACATTGACAAAAAAACCAAATTTCACCATATATATAGTTCCTCGAACATTTTGAGAGACATAAAACAGTTCGCAATTACGTAGAAACTGAGTCTAGAGTAATCTTTGTAATAAGAACTAAGAAGTCATAACCAACAAAAAAAAAACCTTAAATGCAGACCAATACAAACAAAAGATCAAGCTACAATGAATTTCAAGAGTACAGAGAAACTAAAAACATTTAACTCAACAACGTACCAAAATGTATTGAAAGACAAGCAAAATAGATGAACCTGGATAAGTTCATTTTTCTTTTTCTCTCTCTCTAGATAAATGAATGAACCTGAAATCTACTGGTCGACTGTGGTGACCTCTTGCCACTCCCCATCAACTGCCTCTTTCCATAACGTGACATTGTTGTCCCCAGAAGCCACGGCCAACAAGTTCCCAGTCAGAGACCATGAGACCCTCCAAACAGGAGTCTTAAAGTCCTTCAAAACTCTACCCTCCCATTGATCGCTTTCTTTTGCAGCAGTCCATATGACCACCGTACCATCCTGTGAAGCACTGGCAATTGTTGATTTTGGAAGCCCCAAATTTGGTGCCCATGCAACGTCTCTAACCCAATCGCAGTGCATTTGTAAAGCAGGAAAGCAGTCCATCTTCCAATTACCGTTATATAGTTTCCAAACCTTCACTGTGTTATCACAGCCACCAGATGCCAGCTTCTGAACAGGATCCAGAAGTCCAGATCCAACTAAAGCACCAGGGGCCATTGAAGGGGCCCATGAAACCGAAGTGACTCCAACAGGGTGTGCTTGGTCTATTTTCGTTGTGTCCCAACCACCATCTGATCGCGCTGTGTGGACGGAGATATTCCCATCAGACGATCCACAAGCCAAGCAGAGTCCCAGTTCATGCGGTGCCCAAGCAATAGAATTGACAGACGATTTGTGGTCGTTGAAAACATGAAACTGAGACCAGTCGCTCTGATTACCTTCCTTCCAGATGATGACCTTACCATCATAAGAACAAGAAGCAAGCATTGAGCCAAACTTGGGGTGTGCCCATGCTACCTGCCAAACTGGACCTTGATGACCAGTCAAAGTAGCGAGATGCTGAGAGGTAGAATTGTTGCTGACACCAATTATTTTTATAGTGGCATCAGATGACGCTGTCGCCACTCGTTTTCCATAATAATCCATGGATACATCATGAACCACATCGTTATGACCTGTTTCGATCTTTTGCCCAGGCATCTTTCTCTAGTTGCTTATATCTGACACTCAACGTTCTTGAAATGCTGGTCTTTTTGATCTTATATCCTAAATTTTTCAATCAAATTCAAATTATATCAACAAGAAACTTGTCATCAATTCCCGAAACCCATTTCCAAACAATTTCAGATTAATATTATAACTCCAATTGCAGGAATAATGTGAGTGCCTCTCAAACCATCAGGAACACTATAGTATTAAACTTTGAACTATTACGTCGTCCACAAATCTCAAGACATGATTAAGCTCTTAATTCTTTATGAAGTCTAATGAATTTTAATTTAAAACAGTGAATTGGATCCCACGGGGATTTATTTAATCACAATTGAGCCAAAGGGGATCTATTAGACAACACTAATGTCTCAATTCAGCGAAATCACATACATGTTTCTAATTCTGCACCACATTTACATACAGGCTTCTGCACAAATTCCTAACTAAAAAAATAGATCCTCAATCTTTGTCAAAAATAAAAACCTAAGAAAAAAACGTATCAAAACCTCTTAATCTGAATAAATTAGTCTAACTGAAAAATTGAGCCGGTGAATCCTTCTTTAATTAATTATTCAGTTCAATTTTAAAATTCAAATCTCACTTAAAAAGCACGCCTTCATATCAAAACAATTTCCATGGCGTGAAAAAATAAATCTTTAAATGCAAACGAGACAGATCTAAGAATTTTTCCCCAGATCTCAAAAAATTTCACGCAGAAAAAGAGAAATTAATCAACCTCAGGATAAATAAATCTAGAAAAAAATAAAAAGAATTGGATGAGACACTTACCAAAGAAGACCGGACTTGGATCCGATCGGGCGGGGACTTAAGACAGGAGCTTTAACAAGGAGGTGCAGAATGTGTGTATCTGCAAATAACGAAAACAGTAACGGTGTGTTTAATTTAATTAGGTTATGTTTGGACACGTCAATAGTCCTATCCCAATTAACCACGTGGTGTCCCAAAATATCATAATAATATAATAATCTAATAAAATATCACATTGTTGTGAAAAGGAAAGAAAAACGAAGAGAATAGACAGAAGTCAATAAAGGCTTGCTCGATAGTGATTTTGAGAATTGATTTTTTAATCGTTAGAGAGATAAATGGATCTTATTTGTGAAAGAAAAAGTCAAAGATTACGGTTGAAACAGTAAAATAACAGTTAAAAAATTGATAGAAAAAGTCAAAGATTACGGCTGGAACAGTAAAATAACGGTTAAAAAATTAATTTTTTGGAAAAAAAATTAATACCAAATATGCACTAAACTTGTTTATATTTTATTAAGGATCAAAATCCTATATTTATATGTAAAAATTATAGATACAATGGTAATAATTTTTAGAGTTGCAGGAGTAAAATTGTTATTCACTAACAAATCATAATAAACTTATTATTTACAACGCTCCCCTTTAAATGACACATTTCAAAATATCTACTTGTTAAAATTTTGTTTGATAAAAATTTAATGGAAAAAAAATCAAACAAAGTAAAAAGAAGACAGTTATTTTGTAGTAAAATAAATACTACTTCATTAAAACCTTACTAGAAAAATTCGGTAGGATAAAACCTACGCGAAAGAAGAAGAGTACAGCTACTTCGCCTAATTTTGATCGCTAAAAATCTTTGAATCAACGCATTCCAATTTCATGAACTAATTTCTTGAATGCAGATGTTAGTAGTGTTTTTGTAAATAAATCAGTCACATTGTCACTTGAGTAAATTTATTGGATATCGATGTTATCATTCTTTTGAAACTCATATGCATGAAATATTTTTGGAAAAATATGCTTCATCTTATCGCTTTTGGTATGGCCTCCTCTAAGTTGTGCATAAGTTGCATTGTCTTCATACAAAATTATTGGACTATCTTTTATTTTTTGTTAACTCGCATGATGCTTGGATATGATAGGTCATGTTTCTCAGCCATACACATTCTCGACTTGCTTTATGGATTGCAATAATTTCAGAATGATTTGAGGATGTTGCTGTCAATGATTGTTTCACAGATCTCCATGATAGCTGTTCATCCACATGTAAACATATATCATGTTTGTGATTTAGTTTTACGTAGGTTAGATAGATAAACTGCATCTGCATATCTTCACTGAAATAGATCCCGACTTTTGAGAATAAAATAATCACAAATCAATAGTACCTAAAAAATATGTGTAACATCATTCCAATATCTTTGAGTTGGTGTAAAGCTATATCTTGCAAAAAAAAAAAGTTATGCCGGGTTGAGTGTAGTTTGCAAGATAAGTTAGTACTCCAATTTTACTAAGATATGGTATTTTAGCACCATGAACATTTTCTCCATCTTCAAGTGGACAAAATAAATCAAGTGATCAAACAACTATAAGTTATGCCAATGGATGTGTATTATCCATATAAGAACGATTTAAAACTTTTTCTATATATATATATATATATTGATAAACAAATAATCCTTCTGAAAAATGTTCAATCTGTAACCTGAGAAAGAATTTGATTTTTCCCAAATCTTTCATCTCAAATTCATTTTTCAAATAATCAGCAGTTTTGTTGAGCTTTTCAGGAGTTTCAATTAAATTTAAATCATCAACCATAATTGCAAATCCAATATTTATTTCTTTTATGAAAATGTATGTGCGGACATCGTCATTTTATAGCCTTCCTTCAACAAATATTCAGTAAGGCAATTAATCACAATCGTTTGGATTATTTCAATTAATACAATGATCTAATAACGTAGTTCTCGGGCATGTATATTTGAGTTATGCTTCATGCATATCAAATCTTTCAAAAATAACATTAATAGTCATGTCAGATGAGTAGACCATTACGTATTTCAAATTTCATGTATTGTTAAGATAACATGATATAGACTCGTGATTTCATCCACAACGATCTTTGTAAAATTCACTATGTTGAGAGTTGTGCATTACATATTACAACTTCATTTTTCTTATTTCCTTTTCGCATAGTATATAACTTTGGATTTTCGGAGTATATGTCAATTTTTTTTATGTTTTTTTAGTAAGTTCAATTTAGAATTGCGTTCCTTTTATTTGACCAAACATTACTTCAATCGATATATTTCAACACATTTATTTCGATTCTTCGCTATTCATAATATGATGCAGTACATCATTTGTAAAAATGTTGTTGACACCTTTTTTTTTTATTTTTCGATTTTATTTCTTTTCCCATAGTGACATAATTTATTTAGATATCTCAATTTTCAACATATTAGATACCTGAACCTCTTCTGGGATTTATATAATTTGTTATGTCTAAATATTCATCAAGAGTATATGCCTCCTTAATGAGATCGTCTTTGCTAATTACTCCATTTTTCGTTTGAAGATTTTTGTATTAGAATCAAGCACGATCAGGCTTCAGGCATGTTGTAGATATATCAAATAAAATGCTAACAAATTGTTAGCAAATTGTCTCCTAGGACATCAATTCGTATTGGGCATTAAAAATTGGTATGTGGGATATTGTTGATCTCTTTGATCAGTAAATACATCTAAATAAATTATCTTTCAACTTCTGGTTCGAATGATATTTAATGATGATTTAGATGATGATGCATTTATACATTATTTTCAACTTCTTAATTTTTCCTCGAATATTGAGAGAATTGTCCAATCAAATTGACAATCATTTTTTCAGTGTTATAAGATATCACTCATTGGAGATAAAGTTCAAATCACGTACTAATACTCAGTATTCTTTATTTTTATCTCAGTGCACTGTGATATTCAATTTTTGCATATACTACACTATTAAAATAATTAGATGAAAAAATTAGAATATGACCATAAGCTGATTATAATCCGGAGAACTATGATTTTGGTATAATGAGTAATAAAATTCCCTAAATGAAAATGAGAAATATTTTGTTCTCAATTAAATTAATTGGATGAGTTTAACAAACAATAGTATTAAACTATTTATCATCCCAACTTACAGTTATTAAAATGTTGAGATTTATGTCCACTAGCATTAACAAGATACAGTCTTGATTATATAATCTGAAAATTATACTAATAATTTAAATTTTGAGGAGTAATTTCGCAAAGTTTCGATTGCGAACACCATGCAATCATCTAGTATATGTGTCAAATATATAAAATATAAATAATATTTAGATAATCAACTGGTGGATGACGAGGCCCAATCTATTGCCCTAATTAGTTTTCAAAAATATAAGGAATTCAATCTCTATTTTAGCTAGTGATGTTTAATAATAATTGTCGACAAAGATAACAAATGATACATAAGAATTCATTCCATTGAATAATCTTCTGGTTCTTTATTGAATATCCATTAAAAAAAATTTAATTTCACATCATTGTTGATCCAGTGATGGTCCAACTGGTCATGCCAAATAATAAAATCAAATCGAACTTCTAGTTCAAAATAAGATATAATTCAATTATTTAATTTTGAAGAATGTGATTCAAGTATTCAAACTAATCAATGTTCACATGACATTAGTTATATGTTTTCCTTCAAGAATAAATATGAATTCAAAATGATGCATTTTTCGAAACATGTGCTACTTCAAAAGCACGTTGTATTTTATTATTATTTATTCAAAAGTAATATGTCAATATTCTCCAGGAATATTGAAAATTATAATTCAAGCTCTTTAGGAGCAATCAAATATTATTATAATAAATTATACAAAAATTTTCTCCTTAATCGTAAAAATATAATTTATGTTAGATTGTATATAATTATATATTTTTAGAGTAAGTAAAATCTAACAATAATATTAATGAAAATTATAATGTGTTATTTCGATATCACATTATATTTTACTATTACTTTTTCAAGAACAATAAATCAATATTCTTCTGAAATATAGAGAAATTTAATGTCAAGCTCTTCAAGAGCAGTAACACATTATTGTTTACAATAATAAATTATATAAGGATTTATTCTCTAGGAGTAAAAACGTAATTTTATTTTAGATCTTATATTATTATGCTCTTCAAGAGTAATAAAATTTAACCAGAACATCAATATCTAAAAATGTATGCAGAAGAATAGACACATAAATAAATAGAGTAATTTAATTCATTATTTTACATAGAACCGATCAATGCTCTTCAAGAATATTGAAATTATAATACCATATTCTTTTAGAGCAATTAATATTCTTTTTCAAAATATTAATAATATTGTATTTTTTCAGGAACACCAAGACAATATTTTGTTTTAATACTAAGTTGTGTTTTCTTCATGAGCACAACGAGGCACAAAATCTTCAAGAATATAAATACAACATTCTTCTAGAATATTGACATTAACAAATCGTTCTACCTTTCGAGCTAAATAAAAAAATGTGCCCTACATGAGTAACAATGAAATATTATTCTGGAATGTATTTACATAACATATGTTGTTTTCTTCGAAAACATCAACATCATATTTGCTTAAAATAAATATAGTTTAAATTATGCATTTTCAGGAGCACTGAGTCAATATTTTTCTAGAATATTGAAATTCTAATATCATACTCTGTATAAGCAAGTAATATTCTTCTAGAATAATAATAATGTTGTGCTATTTCAGGAGTAACAACGAACTAATTATAATATTGTGCTATTTTTGGAACAACAACATGATAAATTATTAATTTGAAGTTTATAGAAGAATATCTAAAAATATTTAATTACCATATAGACATGTTATGAATTGATATAGAAAAATTAATTACCAAACATACATTAGGAAAATGAATCTACGTACATAGAACTTAACAAAATTAGTTAAATCTTTTATCAATATGCAAAGATACTAAACATGCACATGAATTCCATATATACAAAAATCAAAGGTAGAACTAATATATGACAAATTTAAAAGACAGAATTAATATGTGTACAAATTACACATACA